CGCCGCGTGTATGTTTACTCACCAAAAAATAACAGCAAAAAATATCACGCGATCCGCGAATACAGGGCAACACCACGTGGCCACGGCGGCGAAAATAAAATTCCGAATTCGGAAGAAGTTTTTTGTATATTTATGTATTATGACTATTTTCTGAGAACTGGATAAGCTCGCCTTCTATTGCCTAATCCATTACGCAACGTTAACTAAAGTCAAGCGGCGTGCGCGTTGCGTATCGCGGCTTGGAAATGGCCACAGAATATTTTTCATCCACACGGAGAAAAAGAGTGTTACAACAAAATGCAGTTTAGCCCATTCTTTCTTACAAATTCAGGTTCGAAAATGACCAATTTTTCTATTAGTCGTGGTTTTTAATTAAATGGGATTAAAAATTCGCTGTATTCGCGGTGGATTAAATGCCGGTGGAGTAAAATTTGTTTCGCAAAAATTAGGGCAAAACTAAAAATTTTTTGATTCAGTGGACCATCAAAATTGACCGCTTTTCTGGCGTCTGAAAAATGTTTCAGAGAATCTTAAAAAATGCATTAATTGGCTCTACTTAATATTCAATAATTCGATAATTTAATATGAAGGAAGTGCCAAGCCAAAAACCTAATTTCGAAACACTTCTTCCAAATTCTCGGCCCCTAGTGTAGCACACGACAATTCAACCGGTTGCCCGGCGATCCGGCATGATGGCCAATACGGGTAAACAGGGGGGATTTCTGGAAAATTGGAGGTGAGTGAGAGAGAGAGAGAGCGAGAGAGAGGAGCGAGAGAGAGAGTTTTGTGTATCGTTTTTGGCAACGTTCTCTGCTCGTTTAACCTTGCAGAGTTGACACTATAAAGTTTAATTTCGACTTTTTAGATATTTTGAAGTAGCCGTTTTGAACTCTTTCGCCCTTAGAAAACTTTAAAGGCACCGTCAAGGCACGGTTCTGGATTTTCTAGAAATGTTTGGTTCGTCTGGAAAAAATGTTACATCAACTAATAAGGATAAATTCCGAAAATTCTCATTATTATATAGGTTTGATAGGCGTGCACTTAACATATCTTTTCTGTGCCTTCCCGTTCCCTTTGAAAGCCTCTACCCTCGTCATTGAGTATCATATTCCTGCAAGTTCCGTGCTCCGTTCAAGGGAAGGGTTCGGTTTCCATCCTCCCCGAAGCGCCTCGTGCTCCTTAAGGTTAATCCCTAGACGAGAGCCATTCGCCAAAAAACCCGACCCCGGGTGCTTTGGCTGTTCTCGCCAGCCAAAACATTCTTTTCAAAGCTCCCCCTCCCGGCAGCGCTCCTCGAGAAAAATGACCAGAATTTTGGAGTACACCCAAGTTCCACCGGTCAAACATCGTTTTTTTAACGCGGGAGAGTGGGTAATTTTGGGTATGAGATTCGAATAGAGAAAATTATTGGACATCGAAAATTGCCGCGAGAAAACACTAGAGCATGAACAATTCGATGCGCTCGGAAAGTAACAATTTTCTGAAACATGTTTTTTTTCGTGAATCGACCAAAAAGGTTCTGTGATCATTTTTTAATGAGTTTCGATTGACAATTTACAAAAATAGAAGAGGGTAAGTCTTGGATTTTGCACTTATAATACAAAACTTGTTAAAGAATAAATCAAGACATTTAGTAAGTAATGATAATTTGGAACTCTCGGTAAAGCAACTATTAAAACGATAACCTTTTCGCTGAACACACATTGTGCCGAAACATTTTTTTGCAAATCGAGGTATCATATAGTGGCATTTTGAAAATTGTAAAACAATACTAGCGGATGTCGAGGGAGCCATACAATAAAACATAGACAATCCCCCGAAAATCAGTATTTTCTGAAACATTGATCTTTCGGCCGGAAGACGTAAAGCCTATATAAATATACATTATGTAAGTAATACCAAGAAATTAACGAAATTTAAACCAAAACTGTTTATAAAATCTTTAAAAAGAAAATTAATTAATTTCCGATTAAAAAGGCAAGGTTCACTTTTTATTTGGAAAATGAAAACTGGTCGAGAAAAAAATTCACTGAAATGCTATACCGGATTATTAAGTTTTAATGAAACATCTTTCTTCAAACTAATAAAGCCAATTTACGGAAAAACTGTTCTATAACAACACCCCCGCTCCTCGCGTCACCTTTACTTAATAAGCTTAGTTTTTTTGGGCTCCACCCTCCCCCCCCCCGCAAAAAACAAGCCCTCGGAAGTATTGGGGGACGGCTTACCTTATCAGGGATTATTAGGGAAACGAGAGGCCAGCCAGGTGTTCGAATTCAGCTAATAACTTGAGTTCAAGCGGATCACGTCAATAAAAAGCCTCTTTAAAAATTGATCTATGCATTAAAGGGGCGGTGACAGGGATGAAAAATTGGAGAAAAATCTTTAAGGAGCCATATTTCGATTATGCTTTGGATTACAGGGGTGTTGAGTTACCAAAATTTCCCCTTCAATTTTTTGACAAAAAAGACCGCATATGGCAATAATTAAATAATAATAATAGAGATAATAAATACGGCGATAATAAAACTAGCGAGGAATTTTGGGAAAAAGAGGAAGCTGACTTTCAAATGAAATAACAGGAAATTAGATTCACCAGAAAGCGCCGGTATATAAAATTCGATGAAACATGTTGCCGTTAAAAAATAAAAAGCTATAAAAAGTACGGACACCATCTTTAAAATCATCTAAATTAATGTAATAACTATGGTCAGATAGAGGGGATTTTCTGAATCAAGACAAAGGAATTCCCCAAAAAAAATTGAGCCCCTATGGCGTTTGATACGGAACCTGCCTTTTTTAAAGGGGCTCCGAAATCTGGTCCACGGCCCCCTGCTGTGATTCCTGGCAAATAGCCAGATGCGGCCGCAACGCGACCGCGCCGCACGCTCTTTTTCCTCTGTTTGGACGCGGAAACGATTGAATTTCAAAATTCTGATACTATTTTTGGAATCCTCAACGAATTTTGATCATTCCAGACTTTTAAATTATGAAAATTGACCAGAGAATCACCGAGATCGAGAGATTGGGTGCCTTACAAAGCATTACGACAGGTAATCGCGGCCCATTCAAAAGGTCGTTTTCGCCCCAAAAAGAATTCGGTTTTTCTCAAACATTTTACGTTTTTTCGCAATCAAATAACTTTTTAGCACTTCTCGGCAGTGACTCTTTCGTTTTTTGACCCGAAGGTTTAATCCCCGCACGCATGAATTTTGACTTCTGAGCCCCTTTAAGCTAATGCTACGTAATTACCTTTTTCGTGTCTTTTTCTCAGTTTTCCTCTATCGAAGTTGACGGTAGTAAGCCCAAATCCGGAAAACTATAATATGTAATACGTGAAACATCAGATTTAATCTCACAGATTTTTTGGCTGAGATTATTTTTAACGAACTCCAGAGATTGGTCAGCACAATAGGCTGATTTTAGGCTGATTCATTTTCGCCCTTCCGGCTGTTTCTATCTATCTATCTTTTTCTTTTTGTCTTCCCAGGTGGAGCCCCCCGATTTTCCGCTCAACCCCACCCATATGCCTGGTCCGGCTGGAACAAAAGCGCGAAATTTTGCGGAATCAGTAGACTTCTCGCCACCTAGATACAATTTAAATGCACATTAATATAGATGATTTCGACAATTCGAAAATATTTTTGGAAACTTAAGTTATCTAATTTTTCAGATTGAAATCGTGAAATTATTCGAGGAGGTAACGGATATCCGTAAAAAACTGCGACATTTTGCGTGTTTCAGCCCAAAAACGAGAGCAATTATTGGTATAATAGATAGTAAACTGTACGCGTGGCTACTGAGTAATGAAACTTGAATGAATTAATATAGAGCATTTTTACAAAAATACAGAATTGAAATGGGAATTTAACTATTACCGTACGATTTTATGTTTAAATTGTGAAAATAATATAGAAGAGTTCAGGTAACAGGGATAATTGGGCTAAAACATCTGTTTCAACTTTCCGCCACTAAAGTTTCTATTTAAAATATGCAATTTCTTCTGGGCTTGCAATGGTAAAATTGGGGCTCGGCTTTTTAGCGGCGACCCGGCATCATAATTAGCCCCCTACCACGTGCCCTGCAATTAATATCCTGAAGCCATGTGACTCTGGAGGCTAAATATGGAGTGAAAATTGGAGCTGCTGTTCCTTGAAAAACAACTGAAAATTTGTGGGCTTCAATAGAAAGAAAGGGTGATAAACGATATACAGAATTGTACAGAATAAAAATCGGAAATATTGAGGTTAGGCAGCAAAAAAAGGATGTTTCGGCCTCGAAAAACTAGCAAATTCCAAATCCACTGTTAATCTCGCCCATTCTTGGCGTCGTCTTTCACATGGGCTTTAATTTGGGGTTTTGAAACATGCCAATTTTAAACAATAATATTGCATTAAAAGAATTTTCTAAAAAAAAGCAGAAAAAAGCACAAAAGCTGCATTTATCTAGAGAGAAGTGGATTTTGGGTTCAGTAATTGGAAAAAATGTTTTAGGTTTTGAACCAACAAGTTTGGTGTCGAAAAACGTAATTGGACTTGTGGGTCTCTCATAAACAAGCAATCCATTTAATTTGCAACTTGCATAAAAATAGCAAAAATTGGGATTCTATGAAAATCATTGTTTCAATTTTTGAATTGTCAAAATTAACGAACTGCGCATTTAATAGCAGGTCCTTGTTGCTTCTAATTTGGAAATCAATTAGAGCGCATTAATACTATTTAAAATCGAATTGGGTTCGCCCGCGAGAAAAAAAACGTGTTTAGGTTTTGAAGATACGAATTTGTTATTAACACTAATCAATGGGCCATTTAATTGTGCTATAAAAATAGCAAAAATCCGGATTCTCTTGAAAATGGATGTTTCAGTTTTTGTAGATAACACTTAAGTGTCTCAGCCCTTTACTGGATAAAATTGGGAAATAATTGATTCTTGTGATATATTAACGGGATAAATCATCAAATTAGCGTTAAGAAACTATAAATAATCCAAAAAAAACCCACTCTGCTTGTGGCAGAACTTCAACAGCTTGGAGATGAAGCTCTTCGACGGCTTCTTCGGCTCGAAAACCGGAAACGCGCCGTCCATCGTCATTTTGGCCGGGGGCAGGGCTTTGGGCTGGATGAGCTGGCGGCCAAGGAGCGGCATTCTTTGTCGTTAGGAAATAATCGGAATCAGAAGAATTTTAGCCTCAGACGCTCGTGCTCCAAGTAATCAAAAGGGAGCCGTGGAGAAGGGGAGTTTGTTGTGGTCCTGAAAATTGGAAAAAATTTAATGTGTTTCACGAAAAATTTAGGCCAAGTACGGAAAAATCGGGGACAATAATTCGTCGGTAGATTTTACGCTATGATCAAACAAAGGTTTAAAAGATATATTTTTGATATCTAACGGAATGTAAAATTACTGTTATTAGCTTCGATTTAAAAATTACCTTAGCAAAGATATATAGTTAAAAGGGAGAGAGAGAGAGAGAGAGAGAGAGAGAGAGAGAGAGACGGAGTCACGAACAAACCAGGGGTTTCTATTAGTTAAAAATTTGGCCAAAAAATACAATTCGGAGGTTTGAAACATTAAAAAATACCATCGAAAATTGGAATAAACGGTAATACAATTTTCTATATTTTTTGCAATATCTGAATTTTCTTTATGAAATCTGAATAAAGCAAGATACAACCAAATCAGGAATTGTGAAATTGGCAAGCTTCGAAACAATTTATTTTTTCCAACATTTAAGTTCCAAAAAATTTCTAGAAACCCGCCAGATGCACCCATTTTTTGAGGGCATCCCGGGGCACGAAAAGTGGTGTTTTGCCCGGTCGTGAGACCCGCACCCAGCTAGGCCACGCCCCCTTCGCCAACCCCCGCCCCTTTCTCGCTGGCGCACCGCCAAAATGGCTCAACCCTGTTTTTTACGGGAGGTTTACCCACGTGAAATATGAGCTAAACGCAGTCTGCTTCCGGAAAGCGCAGAAGCGCTTCGGAAAAAAAGAAGGTTTCTTTGAAAAGTGCAGTTCTTTGAAAATATACGCGTAGCAATGGTTGCTCGGAATTTCGCTAGTTGATGGTAAAGAGTTCGGTTCTTTGCAATATCGGGGGTGACCGCATTAGTTTCAAAGGATGCAATTTTTCTTTTTTATAAATGGAGGAATCGTTTCAAAATCATTTTTAATCTTCCCAAACGTAAAAACAGTACAAATTTTGATTTAGAATACAAAAATATCGGATTTTCGACAAACTTTAAACTACGCATTTTTCTCTGTTTTCCGATTGTTAACTGAAATTGTTCAACCACTTAAAATGAAACTATTTGAAAGGCAAATGTAAATGAGTTAAGAAGTGAAAAATAAGTTTCAAATTTGAGATTAAAAAAACTTGAATCTGCAGAGTTTAGTGGTTCTGGGCCGGCAATTGTTTAACCAGTTTTAACTATACTTTTCATTAATTGTCTAACGATTCAAAATCGAACCGATATTTTGTGATTATGCTAAATCATCGCAAATTGTACAAAAAAATAGCAGGAGCAGCAGATCCTTCCAAAAATTCGATGTTTCAGTTTTTTATCAGGACAATTAAAAAAAGATTTCGCGAATGCCTGGAAGGTCATAGCTAGAAACACAGAGGGACAGCGAGAGAGCGATAGAGCGAGATAGCTTCAGAGAGAGGGAAAGAGAGAGTGAGAGAAAGAGAGAGAGATAGAGAGAAAGAGAGAGCGAGAGAGCGATAGAGCGAGTCAGCTTGAGAGTGAGCGCGAGAGAGAGAAGAGAGAGAGAGAGAGAGAGCGAGAGAGAGAGAGAGTATAACTAGCCTATTCCATACCTTCCCCCTTTACTACAGTTTTATCCCAACTCCAGTGCCAAACGCCCACATGGCTCAGGGCGTCAGCCGCCAGCACCGAACTGCGATAAGCCAATGCTTTTTATAACGCTGCTTACTTTCGGTTTTTGCTCTTTTTCTATGGCTCTCCCACTCTCTAGTTGTCTCTCTCTCTCGCCCGGCCCAGGTGATCCGTTCCCAACAGCGATAAGGCCCCCGACAAAGGGCAACCCGGATCGCTGATAGCTCGGATGGGCCAAAAAAGTATACAAAACTCCGAATGGGACTGGTTAAAGGGATTAGTCAATCACCGATGCTATGGATTTTAGGAGAGAGATGGAGACAGAGAGAGAGAGACAGAGAGAGAGAGCAATACAAAAATTGTTCTAAAGAAACCCGTGTAAGCGACTAGTGATCAAATTTTAGTGAATCCAAGGCCCGAATGCTGTCCCAAAAACAATTCCCTCTCTAACTCGCGGCCCATGCATTGGATCCGAATCGTTGTCACACCATTCGAAAGCTCTTAAAAAGTTTGCAACAATCTTCAAAGCCATGTTTTATTTAAATGCGCTATTTTACAAGCCATTTGCTAAAATGTTCCGGATTTTTCGGGGTTGCATTCCAACCAACTGGCCTCAATTTCGCCAAGCCAAATGACCGGAAGTGGCCGTTAATTAGCGGCAGAGGCCGTTTTTTCCGAAGAATTTCATGCGCCCGAATCCCGGGTGTGAAATCGACGTTTCATAAAATTGTGTGGCGAGGTGTTTTATCACATCAAATACTTGGTAGAGCTACTCTAATTTTATTATTATCCTTATTCCCGTTTATTTGTGTTAATTTAAAACTTAAAGTTGTGAAACTTGAGGCAAAAACGCTAAAAGCCGTCCGAAAGCCAGCAACATAAAATCGAGGTTTCACAAAATCTAGTAGTGACGTGATTTACCGCCTCGCCTAATGAGTCGAAATTTCTATCGTCTAATCGCGCGCAATTTAGTACTATACGTATTAATGAGTCTTGTTTCAATTATTATTATTTACTTTATATAAAACGTTTGTAAAATAATATGAACATTAGTAATACTAAAAATCGAAACCATGAAAAAAATATGTTAAAAAATGCTTAGGGATACCAGATTTGTTAAGGATGCTTATTCTCCGATGTCAACGATTCGAATCAAAAAGCTTATTAATTTTTCTATATTCCCTTTTTTTATTAATTTTGAGCATTCTATGTTTTCGCTACGGTATGTTTTATTGATTTAACGGCATTTTTTACAAATTAAAGGCAAAATTAAAGTACGGTAGAGCAAAGATCTTTCCTCAAAAAAGATCTTTGCTCTACCGTATTAGCGTGTAATACACGTAATTTGCCACACTCTTCAAAATGTGCAAAAAGAGGCACATGCACATAAATAAGTGAAAAACTCGTTTATCTCGTCTCCGGGGTGGTATTTGCCCTTTTACAGGGCGCATGAAATGGTTCGCTGTTTACCATGCAAAATGGCGTCTCCTTTGCTGTTTTCTTGGCGAGCGAGAGACCGAGAGACAGAGAGAGAGAGAGAGAGTGGGAGAGAAAGCCCCTCTCTCGCTCCCCTTCATTGTTTTGCACCCAATTTGCACAAAATCGCCAAGGCCTTTGCATTATCGGGCGTCTAAATGGCCCAGAAATTTCTAAAAAATTTTTTAAATCTCTGTTACTAGGATTTGTAAAATTTCTGGAAATATAGTGTGCCTAAAATAGCCTACGGTTCAAGATAAGGCAAGGGGCCAACTAATTAATAATTCGTCCGTTTTCTAATTTGACGTTTTTATGAAAAATCATGACTTAACCGGCAACTGCACAAAAAGGATTGACTTTTTTTCAAAAATCTCGAGGCTTCATGATCGCATAAAATAAAATATAAATTATGGCGCCAAAATGGCCGGAACTTCTAAAATTTTTGGAAATAGTGTGTTTCGCCAAAGGCTCTCACCTAGCAAAAGTTGGCACGACCTAATTATTGCACACTACCGAGCCAAATAAATGTATATTTTTAGCCCTTTAATTTAATTATCACTAGATTAAAGTTTGTCTATAAAATTCCGAAAGCGCTGAATTTTGATAATTATGGCCGGCCAGGTAAGCGGTTTCAAACTAGAAAAAATGTTTCAGGTTTGAAAATAGTTGTGGGTTGAAAGTTTCCGGATAATTCAGCTATGTCCATGACCGGGTGAATGATTTGATTCGACGTGTTCTTTGGTACTAACAACAGTCTTAATTACATTTTTTATGTATTTAAAGTATCTCTCTCTCGCTCTCACTCTCGCTCTCTCTCCTCTCTCCCCCTCCCTCTCTCGCTCTCTCTCTAGCTCCCTCTCTCTCTCTCTCTCTCTCTCTCTCTCTCTCTCTATCTCTATCTCGCTCTCTCTCTCACTATCTCTCTCTCTCCCCCTCCCTCTCTCAATCTCTCTCGCTCTCTCTCCCTCTCTCTCTCTCTCTCTCTTTCTCTTTCTCTCTCTCTTCCTCGCCTCTCCAATCAAAATAGAACCCATTCCTGCCGGGTGTTCTCCGGCCGAACAAAGCTATTCCTCCCCGACCAACACCTCCCTTAATTTAGATATTGTTTGACCCCTCAGCGCGTGTGTGTGACAAAAGGCATGACCTGTATAATCTCCAAAAAATAATCCCCTCCCTCTCCCGACCTCCCCTATTTTCGGGGAAATAAAATATGGTTTTTTGAAAGGTGTAGAGATCGAGTGTGATCACGGGTTCGGATACTTAAATTCAATAACAGGATTAACGCCCGAAATATTTTCTTTCCAAAATCATATTGCCGCGAATCATAATGTCCAAATTCACAATGTCGAAATTTACATAGACGAATTTTCCGGAAAACGTCCCCCTTTCCGATGAAAAAATGTGGACATTTTGAATTTCGGCTTATGTTTTTCGACATTGTGATAGCAAATTCGATATTGTATACACCGCCAGAAAATCTACAGCGAAGCTAAGCTAAGCTATATGTCAAAGCGAGTAGCAATAAAGAAAAATCCTTAATATATCTTTTTTACGAAACATAGTTATCTTTACCGCCGCCGGCCTTTCCTACAAAATGCAAAAAGCATAACTAACGAAACTATCCTTGTAAAATTCCCATGGATAGTAGAATACGGCGCAAAGCAGTCGGTGAGACCGCTTAAATTTGTCTATTTGTCAAAATAAAGCATAGGATGATATTTCGAGATTAAAGATACAACCAACGAGCCCAACGAACAAATTGTGAAGTTGATAAAATTTTGTATTGTGTTTCTATTAGAAACATCAATACGCAACGGCCAATTTAACAGGGAATTGA